CTTATGGAACTCAGCCCTTAGCCTCTGGGATCTGTACTAACTCTGGAAGGCATCAGAATTGAATTAAATTATAGTACACACACTTGGTATTAGAAAAAGACATTAAAATATTTAACAATCAATTATCCAGAGTAGGGGTGGGAGAAAGGCGTGATTTGTAGCATCTGTCTATTTCTGTGGTATCAATATTCCCATCAGACCCAATATCAACCTACCAGCAATTAGTTGGCTCTCAGCAAGAAAGAAACCTTATTTCTGCACAGAGTATCATGAGAAGATCTCTATCCCTGGTACTGTTTCCAAAGGCCATACTAGCTAATACGTTTTTATGTTGGGCCTCTTCTGCCTTAAACTTATAGTGCAGGGCCCATTATTAAATCAATCTTAGAACTCAGGGGAAATGTGCTTTAATGAAACCCTAAGGTGTCACAGGTGGCTTACCAATTATTCACACCTGTGCTTTCCCATACTTAATGGGACCAGGAGATGAGGCAGAGATAAGGATCCCTTCAGTGAAGAATGGAGAGGGTGACCTGCTTCTACTTAGGGCCCCTTTCCTCACCCCATTGCCCAAGACTAAAGAATGCAGCACAGGAAACAACCAGTCCAGAAATGAGATTCTCCCTGTTCTCTTTGGAACTGTTATTTACTTCTTGGACTTATAGTAAAGGTAGGGGAAGCTTTGGACAAACACTACCTCTTCTTGGACAGCTCCCTTACTACGATAGTTAAGAATGCAGATTCTAAGGCTAGACTGCTTGGGTCAGGAGCATACAGACAGCTTTACTGAGCTTTCTGAACCCCACTTTCCTCATCTGTGAGATGAAGAGTCAGCATAGTATCTTGTGAGTATTAGCCTTATTATTATTATTATTATTAACTATTATTGAAATCAAATTGCCTTCCTCCACTCCTGGTTACATTTAGCAAAACTAAGTAACTGAAGAAGAAAAACCCAAACAACTATAATCAGGAGGCCCTTAAGTCTAACACTGACTCTCCAGCTGGATGGATTCTGTGGTGTGACCTTACCAGCCCTAGCCACTAAGAAGATGGACATGACCCACCATCCCGGATGAAGGGGCAGGTATGTGGAGGCACCATTGACAGAGGCCATCTCTGCAGCCTGCAGTCTGCTGCAGCTTATGCAATGCTCCACCCAGCATCCTTTCTCCTCAAATTAGGTCCAATTTCCTTGTTCTGGCCTCCAGGGAGACAGGGAACAGCTGTCCTACCTCTATAAAATAACTCTTCCAGGTCTGGATAACTATTATTAAACATCCCCCTTCACACTTCCCTTGCTCTATTATAAGATACATTAAAGGCCCTTGCTAATGGTTTGAGGTCTCCGTGAGATGGTTGCTGTTCACCCTAATTCCTCTAATAATTAGTGGTTGTAAACCACTTTGAAGATAAAAGGCATTTTATAAAAGCTAAGTCCCATTATGATTAGCTTTCCAATACTTCTTACTGATGCTGATGAGCACATCAAAGCCAGACACAGTCACAGCATGATATCTGGTGGTTAATTAGATGTATTTCAAGGCAGCTGGTATATATTAAAGAAACTGCTGCAAAATTTATCAACATTAAGAAAGTGTCCACTTTCTTCCTAATATGAACAAGCTCTTTTCAAAGGCTGTCAGCGGTGATGCCTGCAAGACAGGAGTCCGGAGAGACCCAGTGCTAATACATGCTCTGGGCCTGGAAGAGAAAGGCCCAGTAATAGCACCTGACTTTGAACATCTTATCCTTGTTGACAAGGCATGTACCATGCCTTGCTTTGTTTTGTTTTTGCAATTGTGCTGTGATATAAGCAAGTAAAGTAACACAATCCCTGCTTTATGGATGAACAAGCTGCATAAGGTCATGGATTTTCAAGACATTGACATCAGTGTGGTGTAGCAGAACACAGTTAAGGCTCAGACCTATTATCAAGGTGACATTATTGATGTTCCTTTCAAATGCTCTCAAATATTTGTGCATCCTCCCCCTGCGTCTGTGTGGTTTTGCTTCTCATTCCCGGCACCTGTGACTCTTAGAAGGTGGACCCTTAAGCTATTGAAGCCACTTTGTCCAAAGGGACAGAGCAAGAAGTACCCAGAAGCTCCTTGACCCTTCCAAATAGCTCTTAGCCAATGACCTAATTGCCTCTCAAAAGCCCCATTTCATAATACTATCCAACTTGGAACAAAAAGCCCAGTACCCCTGTCCTCAGTGGGGACAAAGTCTGAGTTGTTTTTTTACACTCTAGAATACTTTGTAGGACAAGACAAAGGCTGGAACTTTCTGAAACTTTGCCTGAGCTCTCACTCCATCTGACTTCTTCATCCTCCCTTACAGAGTTCTCATGGGAACTTTTCCTCCTTAAATCACCTCTCTGAGTCAATGTCTGGAAACCCATCCTAAGACAACTCTCTTGACTCCGCATTAATGAGAACATTTTGGATATTTTATATGGAATATATTCTTACAGATTCCCTTAGGTACAAATCTTCCTTTCCAGCTCTCCATACACACACACACACACACACACACACAAGTGTGTGTGTGTGTGTGTGTGTTTTCTGTGTCTGCCCTATGCCTTCAACTCTTAGCTCTGTAAGCAGGATGTTCCAACTGCTTCTGGAAAAATGAATTATTATACTCTGCCCAGCCACGTGAAAGGCACTGAACCAGGGAGGGCCAAGGAAGAGACATGTTTAAGACTTTCATTTCTTTGGTGAACTTACTTATCAGAGGGACATGATTAGAGCCATGTGTGCACACAATGAAAACTACAAGAGCAAATGATTCTTGGAGTGGTACCCCCAAATGAAGCCACTTTCTAATGATTCTCCATACCATTCAATTATGGCTCATTTACTTAAATGTTTGAATCTGAAGCTACTCTTGAATATTTAAGAAAATGAAGGTCAAGATAATCCAAATGAGTAGATAATTCAAAAAAAGGAGTTTTAAAATTTAAATCTAGTTTGCATTACTATTATTATTATTGTTGTTGTTGTTATTAATTTTTATAGTATCACTTTAGGAAGCTGCCTAAGAAAGTTAAGAAATCTGCCCTACAAAAATAGCTAATTAGTAATAGAGTACGAATTCAATTTTAATTTGCCTGACTCTTTAAATTTTGTTTCTTTATTGGTCACATGGGGCTAATAATAAGTCTTACCTTGCAGAATCTTTGTGAGGATTAAACAAAAATAATGTGTATAGCCTACCAAAATACCTGTTACAATAAGCACTACAGAGTAATTGGCATTATTAGTCCCAAGTGGAATATCATTGATCCCCAGGGTATCCCTATAATTTGGATGTGGCTTGTGCCCCAAAGGTTCATATGCTGGAAGCTTGGTCTCCAAAGCAACAGCATTGAGAGGTGGTGGGTCCTTCAAGCAGTGGGACCTAGTGGGGGGTGAAGGGATGAACACTGGCCCCTTGGGATGGTTTGGGTCTCACAGAGTAGACTAGCTGCTCCCAGAGCAGGTTTCAATAAAAAATGGAGCCTGGCCCCTCCCTCTTGTTTCCTCTCCCACCATGTGACCTCTGTGGGTCCCACATATTCGTGTCATGGGATGCTATCAGCCACGAAGCCCTCACCAGAAACTGATGCTTGTACCCTGCTCTTGGACCTCCAGATCTGTGACCAAACTTCTCTCCTCTTTCATTTGTAAAGAAACCAGCCTTGCATATTTTACTTTAGCAATACAAAGCAGACTAAGATAGGCAATTTATATGTATATTTTAAAAGATACATAATACCACACTAATTTCCAGGAAACCATTAAATAAACCCATGAAACACCAAGGAGATCTACCTAAAATGCAGACCTGATTGTTACTTTCAGGATGTATCTTAAACACACAGGACAACTACTATCTCCTTAGTGCCATCTCCCATCTCCCCTCCCACATTCTCTTCCCTCCAAATTATTTCCTCTTCCCTCCACTCTTTGGTGCCTTGGCATTTTCAAACATATTGCCTACTCATCTGGCATTCCCTGGCCGTCTGTCTGAGCTAAGTCCTACTAAGACTTAATGTCTTAGTCCATTTAAGCTGACATGACATTTAAGCTGTGCCCTGAAGGTTCACATGTTGGAAGCTTGGGTGGCCTTTAAACAACAGAAATGTATTTCTCACAGTTCTGGAGGCTGGAAGTCTGAGGTCAGGTGCCAGCATGGTTCTCATCAGAACCTTTTCCAAATGGCCGGCTGCTGACACCTCACAGGGTCCTCACATGGTAGAGGGGGGCTTGGGAGTTTTCCTAGTTCTCTTTTATGAAGGTAAAAATCTAATTTATGAAGGTAGTTCTCATGACCTAATTGCCTCTCAAAAGCCCCATTTCATAATACTATCCAACTTGGGGGTTAGGTTTCAATGTATGCATTTTAGAGGATACCATTATGATTCAGTCCATATAGCACTCTGCCCCAGGTACCCCCAAATTCAAGCCCTTCTCACATGCAAAATACATTCATTCTAACCCAGCAGCCTCAAAGGTCTTAATTTGTTCCAGCATCCACTCAGTCTGATGAATTCAAGTTCTCAAATCTAAGAACTCACTGTCTGAGCTCACAAACAGAGTGGCCTGCATAGCCACAGGTTCTGCATCAGCAGCCCGAACAAACCAAGAGTGGAAAAATATCTTAAAAATAATAAAAACTGTACTGAACCCATTATTCCCTAAATAATACAGCATAACCATTATTTACATATCATTTGCAATGTTTTAGGCATTATAAGTTCTCTGGATGTGATTTAAAGTATACATGAGGATGTGAGTAGGTTACAGGAAAATACTATGCCATTTTTATATAAGCAACTTGAGTATCTGCAGATTTTGCTATCTGCAGGGGTCCTAGAACCACTCCCTTCTGATGCTGAGGGACAACAGTTATTTAAAGCAGCAAGAATGGCAGAATGTAGGGCCTGGAATTGCGAGGCCTTTGGAGGCAGATCAAACATGCTGCAGACTGTCTATCTCTCCTTCCTCACTCACCTGTGGCTCCCTGCTCTCTGAGAACTGGTAATCTCTTCACTTCTGGAAGGCGCTTTTGCTACTGGTGATTTGAACTCCACCTAGGAAACACAGAAGAGATGAATCACATCTTGTTTTCCACTGGGGACCACGGTGCAAGGGGCTTCCTGGAAATTTGGGGGAAACTGGTGAGAAACATCCCTCCTAGCAGGGTTGCAATGTCCCAGAAGAAAAAGGCCTTGTCCCTTCCTCTTCCAGGCTTTGAAGAGAAAAAAAGAAGGCTCAGGTGTAGCACTGGTAAGTCTGCTTAGCAACCCCATTCTGGAGCCTGTGTCTAGGCTGATGAGGTCAGAGCCTTGTGCAGGAGAAGTAAGTAGACTAGGGACAAACTGATCACCCCTTCCCAGGAGCACCACCTCTCAGCAAGTTTTCTTTTTCTTGCATCCAATCCATAGATGCTGTTTGCACCGCTGAAGTTTTGAAGACAGAGAGTAGAATTGTGGCCAGACTCACTTCCAAAAGAAAGAAATGCAGTGGGGTTATGAGAAAGTCTAAAGGACCCACAAAGAGAGCAAGCTAAAAGTGATTGCTATGATTTAGTTGTGGTTTGTCCCGCAAGGGTTCATGTTTTGGAAACTTGGTCCCCAGTGTGGAGATATTGAGAAGTGGTGGAACCTTAAGAGGTGGAGTCCATTGGGAAGTCACTGGGGATGCTGCCTTCAAAAATAATTTATTCTTGTGGTACCCTGAGTTGGTTCTCACAAGAGCAAGTTGTTATAAAATCTGGAGCCTGACCCTAAATCACTCTGGTTTCTGTCTTGCCATGTGATTTCTTATTTTCACATGTTCTCCCTCCATGATGCCATCTCTCTCAATGTGACCTAGCCAGGGGAACCTTGCCAGAGCCAATAGCATGCTGTTTGGACTTTCAGCCTCCAATTGGTGAGCTTAATAAACTTCTTTTCTTTATAAAGTACCCAGCACCACGTATTGTATTATAATAACAGAAATAGACTAATACAGCATCAGAGGAGGAACAGGCTTTGGCTCAGGGAGAAGACAAACCTTCTTGACTAGAGCAATTTGAAGGTTTTAAGACTGAACTAGGAAAGGAACTTTGCAGAATGCTTTGCCTCATGATCTAGAGGCATGTTTGAAAAGACTGGAGATAGCAATAGTGATTGCAAAGGACATTAGAATTATCTATCCCATTGTATGCTAAGTCCAAAGTTCAACCCACACTAGATCTGACAGACCAAATATATATATTACCATTGAATACAGCCTTGGTGGAGCTCATGTACACAATCCATCTGAGGAATATTCTTCAAGAACTTCTCATTCTATATGAGGTAACAGAGTGCTTGAGTGTTCTTTTGTTTATTCAATGAATATTTACGAGGTGCAGACCCTCCTTTGGGTATCAAAGGATTAGTAATAGGCAAGTTTAGCAAATGTTGTCTTCATGGAGCTTACATCATAGGAGAGAGACAGGCAATAAACACCAGACACTATCAGATAGTGAAATGTACTTGCAGAAGATAACCCCTTCTTTAAGCCCCCTGGGGTACCCACTCCAGTCCCCCGACCCACTGGCATTGCTACTAGGATGCTGCAGCAGCCACAGAGGGGAGGCTCCACCCTCTAGTTGTTTCCCAGGCAGGAGCCCACAGCAAAGCCAGGGGAGTAGAAGGACAGGAAGAGATTGCTGCCCTGTCCTGCCCATAGCTGCCAACTCCTGGGATCTTATTTAGGAAAAAAAAAAAAACTATTTGGCCAAACATACGATGTTAATAGTATTATTTCTAGATGGTAATCCTAAGAAATTATTTTTATTTTCTTCTGAATCTTCTAACTTTTTTATTATTACAATTTATTGTGTTTGCCATAAGGAGAGAAAAACATTTTTCAATGATTGGTATACCCTAACTAAATTAAGAAGAAATACATTTGAACAAGTAGGCAGGGAGCAGATCTTGGGGTGATGAATAACATTTCACTATGCCATTTTAAGGTTTAGGAAGCAATTTCACAAACACATTTCCTTCAACTTGCAAGACTTTCTCAAGGTCACATAGAAAATAAACCTTAGCACAGGAAAATGATCTGCAGGTCCCAGATTCCTAGGCCATTATGTTTTCCATTACTGCACAGCCCGTCTGTAGCTGACCTTACTTTTCTTCACAGATGAAGCCCCGAGAAAGCTGCTGAGCACCCTAGGTCCTAACTCTCCTCCTTCCAACCATGCCCTCTCCTCCAGAAGCCAAACTGATTCATACAGAACTAGTTTGTACTAAGCACCTGCCAGGCACTGTTCTGGGTACTTGGAGTAACTGCAATAAAAGAAAGTTACGAGGTATTATGCAAGTGACCAGCATCAAAGGAGGCTGACTGGATGGGGGCACAACCCCCTCACTTGGTCCAGCCATGTATTGTCACTGATTGAACCAAGACAGGTCAGACAGATACTCTAAAATGAAGACTAACTACCAAAAGCCTGCCTGATTTTTAAAGGTAGTCTATTTTAGATGGAGAGATATACAAAGCCAAATGAAAAGTTAATTAAAGACATGGCATACACTTGCAATCATGAAACAGCCCCCTTATGCTCTCTCTGGAACTTAGTGGGGCTTACCAACCAGATCATTAGAGAGGTCCCAAGTCCACACATCATGGTCTCTGGGAGAGGTCACAGGAGGCTGGGAATGGAAAGAAAGGGCACAACCAGACAGAAAGTATGTCGCTAACAATATAAGGCAGAGACACAGCTTTCAATACTACAGGACATTGGGGTGGATGGGATGGGAGAAGGCAGCTGAAATGTCAGGATCCATTTCTGTAAGGGAGGTGAGACTCAGAGTGGGCCTCAGAGACTGAAATGGATTCAGATGGTCTTCATGGTAACCCCATTCAGCAGGACCAGGGAAGGCTTAGCACAGTCTTTGGGCCTCTCTTTCCTGAGGCTGGTGGCTGGATTTCTGGCCCCTCTCCCATCTTGGGTCTTGGTTGGTGGTGAGGGCTGGGGTCCCTCCATCCTGTCTACAGGTTTTTAGGTGTCTCTCTGCCAGGAGTGCTGCTAGAACCCCAAGATTGATGAGGACCCCTGACAGTACTGGGCAAATCAACTAGTGCTGACGATGCCTGGCTGGTTAGTTTGCACACACACTGGGTTTTTATTGCAGTATTTCTATAAGCAAACCTCAAAAACTTCCAAGTGCTGGAGCCCAGTGGGGACAGAAAATTCAAGGTATTGGAGTTTGCCGGAGCTATCTCTGCAATCTGGGCTAATGTGAGCTCCCTGGCACATAATCTAATGAACAATAACAACAATAATTATCATACCATGAATGACAGCCAACTTTCATCTACAAAGTCTACAAAGATGTTTGTAATCTATGCCTATCATTTATGAGTTAATGTCTTAGTTCGTAACACACAAACATTATTATATGACTTTCAAAGACTGTACTATCTTATTGTAATAAAAACATGCCAGTTGTTATAGATCCTGGCTGACAGCTGTTGGAGGGCTGGGTCTGGAGATGCTACATGTCTCATATATAGCCTTCCATGTGACAGTCATCCTCAATGGCACTTTAGTCTCCAAAGCATTCCCACTTGGTACAGAGACTTTTGAAAGGCCAATGAGAGCCTTAGATGAAGACTCAGGAGCTTGGGCTCAGTTCCCATGTTGCCATGGATGGACCTAAGTCTGTGTTTTCTCTCTGTTAAGAACAAATGGGGGAACGTGAAAGGAATGGAGGAACTTTAGATAGGGCAGTGGGGAGGAAGGGGAATGGAGGGGGCATGGGGGTAGGAAAGACAGTGGAATGAGTTAGACATCATTACCCTAAGAACATGTATGAAGACACGAATGATGTGAAAATGTATACAACCAGTGACTTGAAAAATTGTTGCTCTATATGTGTAATATGAAATGAATTGCATTCTGCCATCACATATAACAGATTAGAATAAATAAATAATTTAATTAAATTTTAAAAAAGAACAAAATACTTTGGATTTAGATGGCTCTGGGTTCAAGCTTTCACTCACTACCTGTGTGAGCCTCACCAAGTAATCGAACTTCGAGCCTGTTTCCTCCTTAAACATGGATAATAACAGCACGTCTTTGTAAAAGTCACTGTGAAGATAACAAGATTCACAGCTCAAGATGGGCTTAGTGCATAGTGGGGTCCATACTAAGTGCTAACTATGTGCTAATTATGTTATTGTTTCTGTTAGAGGACAAGGCACAGTGCACCTACAGCCTAGGTCAGAATCTGTGGCATAGAATCCTCCCTCTTTTGGCATGAAATCAGCAAGCTTTAGCAGGGTGGGGCTGAGGCCCCAGGAGAGGGCACCTGTGTGGGGAAGGCAGGCCTCTCCCTTGAGCAGCAGGGCTTGTAGCGAAGCGCTTCCTGCATCTGGTACAGATGGCATTGGCCTGATCCTCATCCCTAGAATTTCATTGTCCAATGCAGTAGTCACAAGCCACATGAGGCTATTGAGCATTTGACATGGGGCCAGTCCAAATTGTTATGCAAGAGTAAAATACATCCCAGGTCTCAAAGTCTGAGTTCTAAAGAAAGGAATGTAAAAATCTCAATCATTTTTAATGATAAAAAATTATCATGCCAAAATGATGATATGTTGGGTATACTGGGTTAAATTACATGTTGTTAAGATTAATTTCAACTCACTTTTTTACTTTCTTCATCTGGCTATTAGGACACTGAAAGCTGGACATGTGGCTCAGGTCGCATTTCCATTGCACAGTGCTGGTCGGGACTGTGAGCTCCATGAAGGCAGAGACTTTGTTCAGATCCCTGCTGTCACCCCAGCACCTGGAATGATTTCTGAATGAAGGGGTGATCCAGTGAGTATGTGAGGCCCAGGGACAAGCTTATAAGAAGCCAGGGGTCACACTTGAGCAGATGGGGACAACTCCTGGGCCGTTTGATTATGTAAAGATGAGGAAATAGGCTGTAAAGATAATAAGAACATGTCCCCAGTCAGAATTTAAATTGAACACATCTTAACCTATGCTCTTGCTACTGAATCCCGTTACCTCCCATAGTCACTGTAGAGTTACAGAAAG